TCTATCTATCTATCTATCTATCTATCTATCTATCTATCTATCTATCTATCTATCTATCTATCTATCTATCTATCTATCTATCTATCTAATCTCTTTAGCAGTTATTCACCAAAACTAAGTTTTACTGCAGTCTGCTTCAACATGATCCTCATGTTGACATAACCGGTCTGGAAATGTGGTTTTATCAATCTGGAGGAAAATAGATTGAGGAAAGCTGAATTTTATGTGAGCTAAGTACAGAGCCAAGGTGTCTCAAATGCATACAGGTTTAGTACTTGCTAAAGCTCTCTACAAGAATTGAACTACTAACAGTCAAAGCAAATTGCTGGTAGAAAGGGTCAACATAATTCAAGGTGGGCTGGATTTAGCTTCTTGTGGTAACGATGGGACTTGAGACTGATGATGTGCTTAATTCCTCCCTCAGGCTCAGCCTGGTCATCTTCTATATATACAATGTCATAATGCACAGTAAGTCAGGCAAGATTTTAGAATAGAAGGGCTTTTAGTAATGAAAAAAAATAACAGACTAAATGGGGGGGGGGAACACAATTATTTCAGTTTCATCTCTTTAAATCACTTGCTACAAAGATGCAAGTGGTTTTATAACTTGAACAATCTTGATGAAAAGATTGGGGATTCTGGGAAAAATCCGCAAAGAATGCCTATCCTCCTTCTATTAGAAATAGTCACTCTTTCCATAACCCCACTCATTTATCCTATATTTATTACATCAGTCCTGAACAAGATATGACCCTACTCAGAAACCTACACTAAACTTGAAGGAGATTTTAAGTTTTTTAATGTATTTATTTCATAGGCCTGTTTACATTATGATTTACTGCATCCCTTGTTTTATGTATTATAAAACTAATTGATTAACTATTTTCCTTGCAGAAACAGTAGTACACAACAACATTTGGATGATTTAGGAGCAGATGTAAATAATGAGTTCTTTTACCATATTTCTAATAATGATTGTGATTTTTAAAAAGACTAGACTACACAAGGTTTACATGGGGCATTTGTACATACTATCAGAATTTTAGGAATTACACTGTATAATGTTTCAGATCTTTCAATGTTTATTTTAAGAGGAGAATTGGAATGATAACAGTTTGATTTCTTATCTGCTTTCCCAATTTTAACTCTCAATCCTTTCCCACAAATGTTAACTAGATGTCTCCAGTAAACCTTCTTAATCTTGGAAATCAAAGCTGTCATTTTCAATATTGCAGAAGTTTTCAATATTGGGCACCCATAGGAGGCGCAATGTGGCACATGACTTTGTGTCATGAAGTTGTGATTTTTGTACTTGTGTTCAGGTGTCTCACATAAGAATGTAAGGAGTTGGGCTTGCATTGTGATATTATGATATAGTTTTTCATGATAACTATTCCTATCCCAGGATCCTGCTTATGGAAGGGAAAAATTGAAATAAGGTTTTCCACAGCTTCAAAGCATCTGCTGCCTAAGGGATGTCTCTTGTTTTAATTAATGGGACAGTCAACCCTGATCATGAACATATTTCTGACTCTTAATAAAAGTTGCTCTATTAAAATTAATGCTAAAAAAGGCAGGGACTCTTTTCATAGTCCAAATTCACGCAATTACTAATACTCCTATGAACTCATATTTCAGTTTTGCTTAAGTATGTGTCAAAGAAAAATAAGCAACGATATTGACCTCAGAAATCCATGACTTGAAATGCTAATGGATGGTAAGCATAATGAAAGCATTTTTCAAGCTCTGTTTGTGACATAGTTTATGTTCATGTCTCTCTTGAGACTTGTATATAATCAAGATATGTTCAAGGATTTTATTTTGCAATTCTGCAGCACAACCTGTATCTATATTTAAACAGATTTGTCCAAGTAAAGAGCATTACAGGATACAATCTTTAATAATTTTATTTTGCTTTTATTGAATAAACAACTGAATAAATACAACTCAGAATAAAAGGATATATTTCTTAGTGGGGCTAATTATTTTTAAATTGCCACTTCCACAGCTCTCAAGATTATTCATTCAAAGAAACAGTGTATTTTCCCTACATCAGTACTGAGCCATTTGGCTTGATTATGCTCTAAAGGAGGATTAAAGGCTGAGGGATCCTGTCATTATTAATATTTTATAAGCTTAGAGTTAGGATTTTGTTTTGCTTTTAAATCATAGGAATAGAAGAATAATGAACCAGACAGCATGAAATTAGAGAATTTTCTAGGAAAGCTGCCTTATGGTTGGTGACAATGTATAATATTCTAAACAAAGAAGCAGATGCCTATACGAGAAAGAACCACATATGCATACACTAACGAGGTAACTGTTGATTGCTAACTGTTAATATGGAATAAGGACACAATTGATTAACTACAGCTTCCTACTTTGTGAAGTATAAGAAAGAGGTAACCAGCATTAGAATAATGGAGGCATCAGCCTGAGAGCTAAGCAGTATATTTCACTGAAGATATAGTTAACCTATTTTCATTTGTATCTTTAAAATATTAACAGTCCTGCCATGCATATAGGTAGTGAGGAATAATATTCCCCTCCCCAATTGTAATTTTGCAGTGTCCAATTGTGGCATCAAAGTGGATGTTAATACTGTTTTTCTTATTTAGATTTTTATCTTTCTGTTCCTCCAACACCATCAGTTTGCATTCATAGCATTGCTTCCTCTAATTTTATCTCGTAACAGGTTGAGTGACTGGTTCTTAGTCACTCAAGAGGTGCCATGGTTAATGACTGATTTGAACTCTTCCATTTGCTTTGGTCACCTTAACTGTCCTGGCATAGAGGAGACCTCAAGTGTGCCCTTGGCAGAAAGAATCCCCAAACACAGCAAAGCTGGCTTATCACACTTTGAAGGAACTGAGGTAATGCACATTGCTGATTAAGGAAGGAAAGGAACATAATACAAGAGTATATAATTATACAAACATTCCCCTGCAGTTATAGACTGAAATTAAACTAAACTAAACTAACCCAAATCCAAATCCAAATCCAGCTGCCTATCTATCATCTATCTATCTATCTATCTATCTATCTATCTATCTATCTATCTATCTATCTATCTATCTATCCATCCATCCATCCATCCATCCATCCATCCATCCATCCATCCACACACACATACAGGACATACAAGTAGTTCTTAACATATGACTAGAATTGGACTGAATTTCCAGTTATAAGTTGTTACAGTGGTAAGTTAAGGAACCCACATGACTGGATCCAGTTTTACAACATTTTGGTCATGAAAGGAACATTGTGGTTTTAACATTGTTAAACATTGTGAACGGGCCAAAAAAAAAAAACCTCTTCAGAAATTGCAGTCATGTGACCACAGGATCTTACAGAATAGTTCAAATGAATTTATACCCATCACTTTATTTTGAGTCTAGTAGTACAGTTAACTAATTAACATGTAGCTAAGTAGTCTACAATAGGGTCATGAGGATTTCAGATTCCTTGAATGAAACAGTAGCTTATACTTATTAGATCAATCAACATATAAAGACCATGGTATGGAGAATTGCCAAAACCTCTATCTCTGCCTATGGGTTGGTAAGTAGGAACAAAAAAGAGAAAAGAAGCAGCGCAAGCACAGCCTGCCTTTGTTGTATATTTATGCTGCTTATTTATGAACTTGCCATAACTATAATATTGAATGTATTTCATGTGCTTTAGCATTGAGCCTGAAACAAGTCGTTTTTGTTTCTAGTCTTCTACAATATGAATCCTTCAGTGTTTATGAAGCTCTATCAGCTAAAAAATTCTGCCAGAGGATTTGATTAATTATTTATGATTTACTAATGAAAATGATTCAAGCAATTTTAATCTGCAGCAAGGTTTTTGCAAAATCATTACAAAATATTAAAGAATATTTGATATCTGGGGAGGCAGAAAACAATGAGGCAACAAGTCAGATCACATATCATCATGTAGAACAGAGGAAAACAGTTTGTGGGCATTTTTTGTAAATTAGTCCTGATTAATTAATCCTAATTCTCACTCACTCAGAATGATATACAATACAATACAATACTATGAAAAATATTTAGGGCCTTCAAATTGAGTTTTGGACAACAAAAATATTTTTGTCCTTTTTAGCCATTTTATTTTGCATTTGTAAAATGAATTTCATTGTGTACAAATAGCCAACCAATGTTGCACAAATCAGTTTAAATTTATATATCCTCTCACTGGTTGTATTAAAGCTTAAATCTTTCTTAGGAAAAGCAACAGAAGAAATAAGAAATTGTGAATGATGGTCTTTTATATTTTAATGATGAATATAATGTATCACTGATAATTGAGCTATTTATACATTGCTCATGAAACCTATTGTACTAGACATTATGTGTTTAAACAGATTCTTTAAACAATTGTAGAAGGTGCCTCATGCTCCAAATAGCAGTGGAAAAATGCCAGCAATTGGAGAGAGGCCAACAATCATTTTATTAAGTTGGCAAGCAACAGATGAGTTATCATTCTTCTACTGTTAAGAATGAAGTCAGCCTGAGACTGGCCAATGAAGATTGATGATGAATACAGTGTATGTATACATTTGACTACTGACAAAGAATTGTTTTAAACAGTGACGAGTACATATATGGATAAGCAGGTAAGAGAATATTATGTAATTCATGGTATTTATAGACTTTGGGAAAGTTGAAGGCCAATCAAGCTTATTGTTATTCTAATGGTTTGACCACACATCACACTTTAAGTAGGGAGAGTGTCAAATACATTTATTGTCAGTATCCTTCCACAAGTGCATTTTGTCTTTAAATTTAAACCACTGCCAATTGTAGTGCATGTATCTGTTTTTCAGACTGAAAAAGCCATTAAAAGAAACAATTATGTAAAGAGAAGTGTTTGATACTCCTTCTATTTGACAGAGTGTAAGATATTATAATTAACTTGCTTTCTCAACAGATATTCTGGAAGTGGAGAGTCTAGACATTACATTTATTATTACAGCAGTATTTAAACAATGTAATAAAAGACTAAGCAGAGACTTACATTGTGAAAACATCAAGAGTGTCTCCAGCAGCTCTTGCCATCTCAAAATAGGTTTGCAGAATGTTCACTGTTCCTGAGAGGGCTTCATGTCCACACCCACAAAAGAGAGCAACCCCAGCATACAGCAAGATGGTGGCAATCAGAGACGCATAAGGAATGCCCCCCAAGCACTTGATACAGCATTCAAAACAACCTGAGGAGAGAAGAATGTACTTAATACATGACAACATTCTTTTGCCTCAAAACAAGTTTTTTTCTTTACTTCTGGTATTTCTTCTACCATCTAGATAGATGGTATGCCTAGGTTACCTGAAATAGCTTGTGTGAAACCGGATTCCCCCCCCCCCCAAAAAAAAAAAATTGGAAAACTGTACGGCTTATGGAATGGTTTTCTATCCGTGGCCATAAGCGACACCAATATTTTCTGAAGAAAATGAAGAAACATTCTGAATCTGTTTCTGCTATGTTTTCTGCTTTGCTTTCATGTTGCAGTACTGTTTGTGTCTATGTGTGTTCTGGGGAAAGAAACAGAGTGGATTGCATATATTCTTTTAGATAACTGACCAGGAAAAGAGAGATCAGGGCAGAATGAAAAATCAGCAACATTTTAATTGAATATCTAACTGCATCTTCCATAAAGATACATTGTGCACTTCGGGTCTCCTCCGAGTGCCGTCGACCGGACAATGCCGGCTGGCGACCACTCGGGGGAGAGCCTTCTCTGTAGCTGCTCCGGCTCTGTGGAACGATCTACTGGCAGAGATCCGGACTCTTCCCACAAACCTGGCTGTTTCAACAGGCCTGGGGTTGCTGATTTTTAAAATCAGGTCCAACCCCCGTTTAAGCCAAATGTATGTTGTGTGTTTTTTAAACTGTGTATGTTTATTTCCCCTATGTGTTATTTTATTCTATTTCGTATTTGTAAGCTGCCCGGAGTCCTCCGGGATTGGACGGCATATAAGCTCATTAAATTGTGAATTGCGAATTGCTTTCTTTGATGACAACCAATTTTATCCCATTGTGTTCAGTTTTTAAAATGATATCCAGATAACAGACTTCCCTTTCATATTTTTCCAATATTCCATTCAATTGGAAAAAAATGTTCTTATAGTAGACACTAGCATGCCATTTGCAATGTATGTGCCCCTGATAAGGAATCTTAAAAAGATTATTTCAAACCACCAGCATTTTAAATTGTCCTGCACACTGAGACTTATAGTGAAGAAATCATGAACTAAAGACACCTCCACTAAAAGCAGAGCTCACAGCAATGATGGAATGAAGAATGGCAAATAAATTTGCTCTTTGTAATTCCTTTGTGAACAAGGCAAGGACTGGAAGTTGTCCACAAGTGCGCCAGACAGTTACTCCTCACAAGGAGTTGTCTCCAGCAATTAAAGTTCTGACAGATAAGGAAATAGCCATCTTGCTCAAACCACACTTGGGGCCTTTAATCTAACCACTAAACATGGAACCCTTAAACCCACAGTCACTCAAACTTGTCAGGATTAAGTTGATTCCATGCACATTATTACAAAGGGATCTCTCCCTTAATTATTATTGTTTGCTGAAATATCTGTGATCAGAAAAATTTAAAAAGTACAGAAAGATTATAAAATAGGCTATCCAACAACTAATTAAGATAGGATAATCAAGACAATGAAAATATAAATATTTTTTCTGTAGAGTAAAATTTAAAATCATTGTGCAATATTTGTAAGGTTATTCCTTATATGAGGTTCATCCTCTTGTGGTACCAAATATAATACATGCAGGAAATAAGATATGTCAAATAAACTTCCAGAATATAGTAAAATAAGATCATTGAAATAATGTAACAGGTTCTAAGAGTAATTCTCAACATATCTACAGAATTGAAATGCATGGTGATCAATAATACTTAAATGCCTTATAAAATAATACTATTCATTGGGATTAAGTCAATGAGAAAGTAGAAAGATTCTTAACAAGATTTAAATAATTTAATTCTACTAAATAGGAAACTACACAAATATATATATATATATATATATATATATATATATATATATATATATATA